ATGTTTAAAGGGAATTCGGCTGACACCGAACGGATTCATGAACAATAGATGCCACGCCATTGCATAAGCTCGCTAGCCCTTTAGGAAGTTTAGCTAAAAAATTCACACCAAACTGACTAGGTGAAATTTTAACAGTGACTTTGTTTTGACCCTCTAAAGTTGAACTATTAACTATGAAATTTTGTATACCATTCAAAGCAGTTTCTGATTAAGGGATCTTGATTATACCTTTTAAGTCATGCATATCCCTTGCCATGACTTCCTGCCTGGTGGAAACATCACTGATAGTTGTTGCCATGACTTCCTGTCTGGTGGAAACATCACTGATGTTTGTTGTCATGACTTCCTGCCTGCTGGAAACATCACTGATTGTTGTTGCCATGTCTTCCTGCCTGGTGGAAACATCCCTGATGTTTGTTGCCATGACTTCCTGTCTGGGGGAAACATCACTGATCTTTGTTGCCATGACTTCCTGCCTGGTGGAAACATCACTGATGTTTGTTGCCATGACTTCCTGCTTGTTGGAAACTTCAATGATGTTTGTTGCCATGACCTCCTGTCTGGTGGAAACATCACTGATGGTTGTTGCCATGACTTCCTGTCTGGTGGAAACATCACTGATGTTTGTTGCCATGACTTCCTGCCTGGTGGAAACATCACTGATGGTTGTTGCCATGACTTCCTGTTTGGTTGAAACTTCACTGATGTTTGTTGCCATGACCTCCTGTCTAGCTGTAAGATAAATGCAACACAGAATAAGACTTTGTCAGAAGATATATTTAAATCAGCTACAGTGGAAAATATCAACATCTTAGGCAATCTGATGATGGTGGTGGGCAAAACATTTGAAGATAGATTTAGACATTAATTTGACTTCCAATTTGGAAAATGAAAAAGACAAAATTANTGGAAAATATCAACATCTTAGGCAATCTGATGATGGTGGTGGGCAAAACATTTGAAGATAGATTTAGACATTAATTTGACTTCCAATTTGGAAAATGAAAAAGACAAAATTAGTGATGGTGTTTATACAGCTAGTACTGCCACAGGGAAAAGTGATTTAAGCCATCATGTGATGGTGGGCCAATATACATTAATATTACATTTCATTAGATTTTTTAAATCTCATTTTAAAAATCTTGACAGTGTCTGTCTGCTACAACTTCAGGAAATAGGTCTGTTTCTGAACCTCGTCTGTATGATTTTGTTAACAATATATTATAATATAAGTAAAAATACTTAATAATAAGATTTCCTCAAATATTCACAAACAAGGGCAATTGTTTTTAAAAACAATGTAAAGTATACTGACCTTTGACCTCTTGTACAATGGCCTTGACCTCCAAGTCTGCCTTGTGTTGTTTCTCTAGTTCCTCTATATAATATTTCTCTGCCTCAGGGTCCATGCTCAGGGTCAGTAGACCATCCACAGCTGTTACGTATGTGTTACCTGTCAAAGCGTCCTTTTCTATTTCGAACACGCTCTGACGGATGAGACTCCACCTCGTATGGAAGTCTGAATCAGACAGTGATGCAGTCGGCAGGTGCCCATAAGCTTCATTTCGCTGGACTCTTAACCGGTCAATATTAGCTGAAAGTGACCTGTCTGCTGGGTCTGGTGGCTTCCCCCAACCAGTCTGGTGTGGTGGAATATTGATACTCTGGAGGTTTCTTAGTAGTTTATATAGAAGTGTAAAGTCCAAGTCCTCCAGGGTACCTGAGAACACTCCACCTGAGGGATAAAGAATCTGTCGCTGACGATGTTCAAGATTTCTGCAAAGCTGATCTTTTTGACTTCCTAGAATGGCAGTAAGTCCTGGGGGTGGCACTTTGGCTTCGAGCACATCTCTGAGAAGGTCACAAACAACATCAAGGACAAGTCTAGACAGTCGGGCGAAGTTAGTGGTTACACTGCTCGACTGATAGTTGGAGGCCATTGTCAAAGCTGTTATAGGTGATTTGGGGAGAGGTAGATGCTGAAAGAAAAGGAATACATTAGATTCTACATCTACATAGCTGTTAATAAAATATAATGCCTGAATAGGTCACAGGACCAACTATTGAGTAAATATTCATGCTGAACACCCAATTATTATTACGTCATAAATTTGTCAAACTATGGCTAGTAATCATCAGATATTTCCAGAGAAAGCTTAATTTGGTCAAATTACCCATTTTTTTGCACTGCCTCTATATTTGTACCATTAATAGCGGGCACTCTCAGATGATCGCCGGGCAGTGCGAGCCGTTATGGCAACACATGTACGGAAAGTACGGGAAAATGAGAGTGAATTGGTTCTATGCTATATGAAGACTACAAAAACTTTCGTCCTTCCGGTCGTACAGGCTCGCAAAAAACGGCAGCATGCGTGACTGCATTGATGTTCTTTTTTTGCACAAACAATTAATTTGACATTTTCAATGAACACCTTGTGTTTTTGTCGTATCTCCGGCAGATTGTTATGTTCAGAAACAATTCTACATGTTTTTTACAAGCAGATGTTACTGATGAAATCCTTCGATGTCCTACATATTATTAGCTTAGCTTAACATCTTAGCTTCAAATGACATTAGTTGATACTGATAAGTCCGTATATATATACCATTCCATGTATTTTGCTGTTTGTGAAAGGACGAATTGACGCTGACAACATGTTGTGACGCAACTGTGACGTCACTGTTGACACGCGTCATCGTAGTGTTGACAATACATTCACTGAAGTCAACCCGAATGTTCTGCAGCTATACTACATTATTAAGAATATTTTTATTTTGTTTACTCGATTTCTTATCCCTATAGTTCAGTGCACATTTTTGCTTTGTAACTACACTGAAGGCAGGTTCACATAAAGGATATCTTTGATGTGACGTTAGTGTACGTATTTCATGCATTTATACTACATTCAAAAAGTCCTTTTGAAGTAATTTTATCACAATTTTTTTCTGCATTTTCATCTCAGAATACTGTCATATTTTTCCGTAACTTGATTTAATACAATATGATTTTATTATAAAAAGGTGCATTTTGCTGCGCCATTTGCTTCTTCACCTTCCAAAATTATTTTGGAGAAAAATGTGCAGAAAATTCTCTTACAGTACATTTATATTTGTGTATATACGTTTTTGTTATAATGTATGTGATTGCTATTTGCATCAGAATAATACTGAATGAAAAACAGTGGAAATACAGCATGTAATAAACAGTAAATTATACTTATGGATAGTATAAATACATGTAGTTTCAAGAAGAGCACCACATTTTAAGCCCTAGGTCAGTTTTTTTCGTTAAATGTATTCATAATTGGCTATTACTGATATCAGTACGTTACGGTACCATCTGAAGAAATCAAACAGGAATGATTAATGCCAATAATTACTTTTGACTCCATACAACCACTGATTTGAAACCTTCTTCTGATTTCTTGAGGCAATCCAGCAGATCAATAAAAATGCTTTTGACATTGCTGTTAACAAGTGTTGNTAAAAGAAACAAAAAAGCTATATGGGTCTTATATTGTTACAATTGCCAAGCATGAAACATAATTATCACTTTTAAACAGACTGATTTTAATCAAAAAGGAATGTCCATTGAAAAATGGAATGGAGTAATAAAGATACAAAAAATATCTATGCACTTTATTTGTTTCAAGTTTTGTATCATCGCAACAGCTAAGTAAAGAAAGATGAAGGAAAAAATAGATAAAGGTCAAAATATTCCAATATGGATGGCAGGGATAAAATCTACATAGGGATAATTTGGTTAATTATTCCTATGCAGATGATATTTAGATGAGTGATTTAATATCACGAATATATAGTTTGTAAGTGTTTCTAAGGTGCTTTGAAAAACAACGAACCAGGGCTGATCCAGTGTGGGAGGGTTCAATATGGGGTTAGGGACAAGGAGCCGGGGCAAGTTTGGCCCCGGGATAACACCGGCCAATCCAGATAGTTTAGGTCTTGAGCAAATATTTATAATATTGAGGGTCTTAGTCTTAGTAGTCTTATATACATAAACGCTAAGTATTGTCTTTCGTATTGCTTTGGTAGACAATAATTTTAATATATATATCAATTTGGGTCAGGTTCGTCCATTGACCCTGGGGCAGGTACGGCCCATAGGATACATGGAAAGCCGTGAAACTTGACGTTGCATGCATTGTGAGGTCAAAGTTTTACTGATTACAACATGGACCGAACTTACACAAGGGCTGGGCACATTCGGTCATCCAATCATCCGACATGAAAAAAGTTAAACAATTCTCTAAATAAGGAAGTTAATTTGCCCTTTGTTATTATTTTATGAAAAACATTGATTATCTATATATATCCATATATACAACCTTTGATACAGCGCCTAATGTAGCTAACATAAGCCACTCTAAAGCACTTTACAGTACATAGATTTACAATTAGCACATAGCATATACGTTAATTCAATACATTTTTATGAGGAATTCGCAGGAGCTGCCTTATCAGGTGCTAACTTCTAGTCCTATGCCACCTGGCTTATATCTCCCCACGTGTGTATGCCTGCGTGTGTGCTGGAAATGTAATGTGGTCTGTTTGTAGCGGGACTGTGTTTCCAACGGTATCAGTTATAGTGCCACCTCGCTTGAATTCTACAGCACAAATACCGCAACATCCACCCCAGACCATTTTATTCTCCACTTGGGTTGTTGGGAGTTGTGTGGGCAGGAGAAAAACACTTTCTCTGAATATCCATGCATATGACGACTTCAGGGATCGAACCCCGGCCGCGTGGAAGGCCGGAGTGTTTACCACTCAACCAGTCCTTCGGGCAGGTGAGCTAAAAATACATCAACCTTAGGCAATGAAACGAGCCCCTGTGTTGTCACTGTTGCGACTGACTTGTTCGCCCTTATTTCATTGTAGCATATATATATATACTGCAAATACCTATCACTATTAGTGTTTTGATTTCACATCGAATTAAACAACAATAATCGCCTTCATGTTCTTCAGCTGTTGGAAGGTGGAATCTCCCGTTTGCAGCCATTGTTGATGTTTGTGGTGTCGTCCGGAACACATCGGGCGTTAGAGAGTCTAACAAAAAAAGACAACTTGTCCGATAATTTGTGAGGGGTTTCGAGAGGGATACTCGACAGGGAAAATGGATCGCCTGAGGGATACCCGATGTTTTATTATCCTGTCATGTGATGTGTCTAAACCAATCAGACACGCTGTAAAATCGATGAGGAATACAAAAATATTTGTATTGCCCAAGTGTTAATGTCAAACTTGTCCAAGTGTGAATGTCTTTGTATGTAACACGTATGTCGGACAAGGGCTCTATAGAGCTTTGTTATTTGTTTTTAAAATGCCCATCGACTTTAAATAAAATTTATCTTGTCTTAGGAGGGGAGTGAGAGAAAGTCAGGCATGGAGGTGAAGTACAGTAAGACAGAGAAACCGTTACGCCCCAGACCCTTTCGCCCCAGCTTTTTTTCACATTGCCCTAATTTTTAGTTCATTTCGCCACAAATATGACAACCATATCGCCCCAAAAGAATCTTTATCACCTCAACCGCAACAAAGCGACCGGGGCACCTATAATGAACGATATCTGATCTTTAGAAAGTGGCGGTAGTTATTGCCAGTTTCACTTAAGTATTACTGATTAGGAACATGTAACCTTAAGACTGCAATTGTTTAAAAAAAAAAATGTTCGTATAATTTATTTTTAAAACATTAAATGAGTTATCAGTTTGCATGTTGATGAAAGAGATTGTCAATCAATTTGTGAAACGTAAAAGATATATGTCAAATGATGTGCCAATCAAGTTTCTGCCCTTCATATTACACAATAGGTATTTTTGCCCGGGCTTCAACAGTTGAGAAGCAAAAATACTGTTCTTACCCTACACACATTGATATATATTCAGCATAAATGTCAGCTATTTTCAATTTTCAACGGTGTAGAACGAAAATGATTAGATTGGTTTGAAATGTTTGGAAATGGTTTAGATGCTATTGAAGTCCATGGAAGAATGTAACTTGGCAGAACACATTATAGATTGATTTTTATACTAATTTTTTTAAGTAGTTAATGAAAAAAAAAAATTACTTATGCTGAAAAAGAAGTAGATCTACATGTATATATATACATTAACAATTATAAGTATATATATACATTCTCTCTCTCTCACTAAAATGCAACACACATAATATTGAGTGCTATTGAAAATAACTGTTTTTTATTCCGGACACTTCCTTATTGACAGTATAAACGACTAGAATGTTTTACACAGTGACCTAGCTAAAGAAAATGGACAATTTCACCACTTTCAAAAACATCAAACGAATTGCAACAGATATAACGTTACATTTTTTGAATGTCTATCTTTAAGAATATTATAAATTTTTCACTAAAATTTGTCAAATAAGTTAATTTTATGGAAGAAATTTTTGGGGCGTTGTGGATTTTTTGGGTGAAAAAGTTGGAGTGA